AATCTCTTTCATACTTTGTCCTGCTGACCACCATCATAGGTAGTGAACATGAGGAAAAAGCTATATTTTGAGTTGAAACCAGGACAAGTATAGAGAGGAAATCTTCCAATAGGGACCCTTGTGCCTGTGACAGATAAATAGGGCATTTCTCTCACTTTGGTGAGAATTTGGCTAAAGGAAGGGGTTACAGTGTCTGATAATTCTGCCACCCTAAAGGCTGGGAACATGTCTGCATGGAGGAGAGAGGGAGGGGTCACTCAGTACTGTGTACACCCCCACAAATATTACTGCACAGTCATGTGGGCTGCCTAGAAAGGGACAAAAATGAAAAGTGACAGCTTTCTCTTCACTTCCACTGACGCATGCATATTAAAGGTGGCAATGGGCAATCCATAGGATCTAGGGCTGCAGTGGGTACACAGGCAAAGGGGCTGCACAGAAAATCACAATACATGGTTCCCTCCCTAACACGTTTCGTGCCCTAGCATGTTATATACAAAAGTGCACAAAATGCGTTAGAGAGGAGCCAGGGTGTGACATCACGCCGCTCGGGCCACGTGTTCAGGCCGGCGGCCATCTTTGATGCTCTTTTCTATACTGTGAGTGCTCCATGCTTTTCTGGATCTGCTTATTATGGCAATTTTTGAATACTACAATATCAAGAAAATTTCTGTTTGGGCTCGTTTGATTGCGAGCCCACCCCCCCTTAAGGTGGATTCTGCTGCTGCTTTATACCCACCATTGAGAGAGGTCCCCCTGGGGGCTATTTATGATACCTGGTACATGGAGTGTGATCCCCTTGGTGGATGGCTGAGTGATTCCTGATCCCTGGAGGCTGATGATCCTACAACAACTTGACTTTCTACTGGTTGGCCAGTTGAGCTGTGGATATTCATCCTTCTGTACCCAGAGGTAAATACTCAAAATGCGCACAATTGCGTTATCTGGTTAGTGAAATCTACACCTATTTACACATCACCAGAGTCACGATTTGCACCTATATATGGATTTGGGGACTTACATGCTTATTTGTAACACTCTAATATTGGAGTTCACCACCTGCACTATATAACGTCTGTAGATGGTCAACGCACTTGATTTTACCTCAGCGCTACACAGCGCTATTATATCAATTGTTCTTATTTGTGGTATTTAACATATAGCGCTGCATATTTATGATTGGTTTATATGAAGGTTAAGAGGGTTTTGCCTTTATGTCAGCTGCTTTTTCCCTGCACTACCTAGCGCTCGTACACTTGTTATTATTTTAAGTAATTTTTCTCCTTCACTGATGTGCTCTGATGAGGCTGCACTGATAGGCAGCCCTGATGGGCACTAATAGGCTGACTGATAGTAAGGCACTGATAGCAACTGATTAGTAGGAACTGAAAGGTGGCACTGATGGGGCTGCACTGACAAGCAGGTTGGATCTGTTCTGTTACCCAAATCAAACCTGTGTTTCCCTCTTCGTGGGAGGGGGGTGGATAAAAGGAACTGAAGTCACAGCCAGCAGTCACATACTGCCTGTCAACTCATCAGTGGAATCTGGTGCCCGCAACTGCAATCGTAGCATCCAGCTGTCAAACTGGGAAGGAGATGACAGACGTAGGCGGACAGTGAGAGAAAGCAATGAAATGCCCTCAGTCAAAATAGCAGGCACGCCCATCACAGCCCCACCCACCAGGGAAGGGTGCCGATTTCCCACAAATGAGTGCTGTATCCCGCTTCAGCAGACCACAAAGCCATGGCCTCAATTACCAGAGAGACCGACCACTGAACCCACGGTCCACATGAGGGGCCCGATTCCAGAACACTGTTGCAGTGTAGCCCAGGCATCGGGATGCAATTTCCAATCCCCGTAGCACCTGAAATTTGTCAAGCCCTGCGTTTATAGTAAATCACTGAAAGTGAACCCCCCCCCCCCCCCCCAAATTAAGGGTTCGTTGCCAAACAGAAAGAGGGGAAATTTTCCTAGAGGTATTTTGCTCGTTTTAATAGGATTTCCTCTCACTTCACTTTTTGTTTTGGCTATATGACAGAAAGTGGGGGGAAATCCCCCTAAATGGGACACTACTGGAGCAAAACACAAAAAATTATAAATTTTCTTCCTTACTCTAAAAACAACAAAAAGATATTTTCCTTTAACACCTTCCCAGATTGATGGCCGGGCGTGACACTCCCCTACCTGAGAGGAAGTCATAGGAGGATCTGTCAGAAAGCACTGCTCTGTCATCGGCTGTGTCCACAGGACACAGCCGGTGATAGATCTCTACATTGGCCCATTGCCAGTGTTATGTGATCGTTCTGACCAATTACAGCAGGTCACATGACAAATGTATACAATGGATGGCTCTTTCATGCCATCCATTGTATACAATTGTGTTAACGGCGATTGGACACGGCGGTCACATGATACAGACAGGGCCAATCACGGCCCATTTGTACCTATGATGAGCTTTGGCCAAAAACAAATTTAGAAGCATTTGCGTTTAGAAGCGTTTAAAGATAAGAACGGGAGAACCTCCCAAATGCTCCGAATACACTGAAAAAGTGGAAAATTATTAACTATTTCAGAGTGTTTCAGAGAAATACAGAGAGTAAAAGCAGAGACAGCAGTATGTGTTGAGATTAGCTTAGGTGTGAGTTGCTCATTAACATTTCTTTTGTTTCCAAGGGTTGGAAAGGTGTCTGCTGGAGTGAGTCATTAAGGCCCCTGCAAGGGGGCCTGCAGGAGGAATTTGAGGTGTGAATGGTCATTAACATATCTTTTGTTTCCTAGGGTGGGAGAGGTCTGAGGTGTGAATTGGTCATTGCAAGGTGTGACAAGCTTGGTGGGAACATCCTGTGTTCAGTGTTTTGTCCATTTGAGTACCTTGAAAATGCTTTGCATGCATTTTTCATGATGAAAAAAAGGCTCTGGGCAGCATCGGGAAAACTGGAAGAGTTAAAAAACATTTGCAAAAAGCAGTTAGCCGCGTTACAAGTGTTTACAAGTGTTTGGCATTTGAAACGCTGATAAAATCTACTGCTGAGCGCAAGTTTTCTGCGTTTAAAAAACGACTGTAAACTCAACTGCCTGTAAATGACATAGTGTAATGGACACATTTGCAAACGCTTATAAAACGTGATTTGCCGTGTTTAGCATTTGAAACGCTGATAAAATCAACTGCTGAACACAAGTTTTCTGCGTTCAAAAAAAAACTGTAGACTCAAATGCCTGTAAACGACTGTAAACAAAAATGTGTACATGGACGCATAGGAAAACATTAGGGTGAGTTCAGGGGCTGCTGGAAAAAAAACGCTGAACAGCTCCTAAACGTGAGTTTATCAGCTGCAGCGTTCATGAACCCTAAAATTTTGCAAACAGGTAATTTTTCTTCTTCACTGATGTGCGTCGATGAGGCGGCACTGATGAGGCTGCACAATCAGGGCACTTATAATCAGTACCCTGATTATTAATGTAGAGGTCTCCTTTCACACTTGCCAGTTATCAACAGTACTTTCCTCATGCGGTGTACTGCCGATAACTGGCAAGCGTGTTTACATTGTTATCAGTTGTGATTGGACACAGCTGATCAGGTGGTAAAAAGCCACTGTGATTGGCCCTTTACCGTGACATGTGATCTACTGTGTCCGAAGAACACAGCGATCACAGAGAGCGTCGGGTGTGTGCCACAGCTCTGGGAGGTTGTCGCACGATGCCTTCCCAGAAATGGACAACCGCGCTGTAGCCATCGTTCAGGTATAGGGCAGTCAGCAGGTGGTTAACCAAGACAAGTACATACTACAGAGGGATAGGCTTTGTTTATATGTCACATCTGAGGTTTACAACCACTTTATGCTGGGAACATTGATAGTTAAGTACTGTACATTATATTTACATGTTTAAGGATCAGTTCACACTATAGAAACGCAGTCCAAATGCATTTCAGCATGCATGGTTTGATGTGTTTTGGGCACGTTCCGGTGCGTTTTTTATTCCTTCCACCCCCCCCCCCCCCTTTTTCTTCAATTTAAATAGGGACATGCATTTTTGGTGCATTCCAGTGCGTTTTAGTGCATTAAAAAAGCAGCCCTTTTTTTTTTTTATTTCTGGAACTGCAAGCACTGATGTGAACTGACATTGACAGCCATATAACCTACTTTCTGTGAGTTTTGGATGCAGAAAAAAGCAACTGATACATGTAGTGTGAACTTGCCTTTAAACTTTTATTTTTTTTTACATTTCTTCAGTTACTTCCTGGTTTCCAGACCTAGAAAAATGATGTCACACATCCCAGGAGTCTTCAGGATTTTTTTTCCCCAGGTAACCACACCTTCCTACATGCACGCCTGATCTAAGTGCAGATGGATTCCAGGAAGTAACTGCTAGATGGGTCATCTGCCCATCCTCGGAATATGTCCAAAGAGCTGAACGACTTAGAGATCGGTCCAGGAGGTGGCATGCACCTTGTTGGACTTAATGTATGTCATGGAATTCAGCTTTAAAATCACCACAAAGCATTGCAGCTGCACCGATGCATATTGCTCTACACAAAGCCATATCTGCTTGCAGGTAGGAGGTCACAATGACCCACCTGTTATTTTAGCACCCTCTGGCCACCGGTGTGAAAGCATTCTAAAGATTAAAGGTTGTCCCCTCTTGCCCACAGGTATAAAGGTGGGGTGCTATGCAGGTCCCAGGCCTGGCTCCCCTCTGATGAGGGTCTATAATCCCCCCTGCCACTGATAGAAGACGTGTAGCCAGTGCACGCCTGCGGCCTCCTACAGACGAGGACACACCTGGGCCGCCATTGTACGAGGAGCTCTGAGTGGACGGTGTGAGGAGGCCGGCCTCAGTCCAGGATACACGTGTCACCTCATGAAAAGCCAGTGCACCGTCACCGGACAGGCTCCTCCAGCAGGACGGGACCGAGAAGGGAGTGTCCCCCGTCCCTAGGCCCGACTCTGCTGAGAAATGAAGGACTACAAGGCGGACGGGTGTCCGGGCATGTTCTCACCGTCAGGCCGGTACCGAGCACGATGACGTCGTACTCCTCATTCATGTTGTCGGGCTGCGGGGAACTTAGGTGTCAGAAGCAGGAACAGCCGGGGACGCGCTCACTGACTGGACGTATGGCGGCTCCGGAAGCGTTAACAGAAGCAAAACGGCGTCGCGCACGGTTCACCACTCCCAACTTACACCCGCACGTCACTAAGCAGCCAATCAAGAACGTCTTAAGGGGCGTGCCGCTGTCAATCTATTCGCTCTGTGCACGACACCGAGCCACTTCCTTCTACGTCACTCGAGTCAAGTTCATTGGCTGCTGGCGTTGTTACAGGAGGTGGTGTATTGTCACCTGATTACTCAATAAACTTTATCAAAAAGTAGTGTACAGGGGGGGCAGGGGAGTACTAAGCTCCCAGCTCTGGAGTTTGGCTCTAGTTTATTGAAAGCTGCTCATATACAATGCAATCTGTACAATCTGCTTTAGTTTTATGAAAACTATGAGGACAAACCTAAGCAATCCATCCAATTAGCATGTTAACAAGCAGGCCCCTGCGCTATGCACGGGGGTTACCAAAATTATGGAAACACCAGGTGAAAGAACAACTTTTCCAAATATGGGGTCACGTCTGGCCTCCAAGACAGACAGAATTCTCCTGGCAAATATAAGCAAAATCTTGGCAAAAACCTTTCCAGTTCTCGCAGAGATGCCAGAGGTGGAAAACGAGCCGCCTGAACCTTGTTCTCCAAAATTGACCATAATGGTTTTATGAGATTGAGGTCTGGTGTCTGCAGCGCCCAGGAAAGGGCGACACTACGTCTGCATGCTCGTCATACAACGCTTTGACAACACCAGCTGTGTGAATCAGAGCATTATCAGCTTGGTAAATGGCATTGTCTCGGAAAACATTTTATGCATCGTGAGGTATACATGGTCGGCTAAATTTTGTACTTAGTCGCTGGCAGTAACTTTACCTTTCAATGTGATGATGGAGATACCAAGATAGGGCTGCCCAAACCATAATTGATTGTGCCACCACCATGCTTTACAGTCCTGCTCATAAGTTTGGAACGGTGTTTGCCACGCATAAACATATCCTTTGGTTGGGAGCAGTGTGAAGTTTGATTCATCAGACCATATTACAGTCTTCCATTGATCGACAGTCCACGATTTATGGGTGTTGCACCACTCTCTCCTCTTCTGAGCATTAATATTGGTCACAAGTGGTTTGGCAATTGCAGCTCACCCATGAATATTTTGCTTATGGAGTTCCCTCCACATAGTTTTTGTGGACACAAGCTTTGGAAGACTGAGATTGAGCTCTGCAGTCACTTTTGCAGTTGTTTTTTTATCCCGGATCACAATCCTGCAATGTCTGCACCATGAGGTGTATATGGTCGGCCAAAATTTGTACACAGTCGCTGATAGTGACTCTACCTTTCAAGGTGATGATGGGGCCTGCAGAATACAAAGATATGGCTGCCCAAACCATGATTGTGCCTCCATCATGCTTTACAGTCCTGCTCGTAAGCTTGGAGCATTGCTTGCCATGCATAAAAACATCCGCTGGTTGGGAGTAGTGTGAAGCTTGATTCATTGGACCATATTACAGTCTTCCCTTGATCGAAAGTCCACAATTTATGGGTATTGCACCATTCTCTCCTCTTGTGAGCATTAATATTGGTCACCAGTGGTTTGGCAATTGCAGCTCACCACCCATGAATGTTTTGCTTATGGAGTTCTCTCCACATAGTTTTTGTGGAAACAAGCTTTTGGAAGACTGAGATTGAGCTCTGCAGTCACTTTTGCAGCATGTTTTTTTATTTTTGGGTCACAATCCTGCCCTATGTCCTTTTGTCCCTTTTGGGCAGTAGACCATGTCGACCGCGTTTATGCCTATCAGACATTTTCCCAGAAACTGTATATGCTGTCATAACCTTTGATACTGTACCTGGAGACACCACAGATAAATTGGCAACTTCAGTCACAGAGGCACCAGCTAAGTGAGCCTCAACAATCTGTCCGCTTTGAAGCTCAGTAAGCTCTAACATGATTCAGTGTTACTAGCAGCGCACGTAGTTAATGACGAAAGTGAGACTTCCAACTTGTTAGCCAGGTGTGTCTCATCACACAGCAGAAGCAAAAGAATGCTACAGCACTTGCGCATTCGATGAAAAACACGTCTCTTTCATACCTGCACATCGTGTAGTGTTTCCATTTTTTTTGTCTAACCCTTGTAGTTAATGGTCAATCTGATGGTAGCCATACACACTTTAAATTTTCTATCTAATCAATAATCAAACTTGGAAAAAACGGAATAGCCATAATTTCCCCTCTGATCGATTTAGACTTCATAATGATTGGATTTGATCAAATGGAGTCAATCAAAAAGAATGGAAAATTATTGCTCTATTTACATCAATCGGAAGCACTGAGTCACTTTGTTTATGAACACGATCATATTGTGATTGATCAGAATATTAGATTTTGCTGCCTCCTGAATATCTGTTTTGGAATTTTTTTGACAGCCAAATGGGGTCACCACACCACAACCATAAGTCTAGCATTAGACACATAGTTGCAATGCAACCCTATTCATTTGAGTAAGTTGCATTTGGTGGATAGTACTGTTGCCAAAGGGGGGGGGGGGGGGTTTAGTGTGGCACAAGGCCTTGCCTGTGTACAACCCTGTGCGGCCGCTTTTGCAGCAGCAGCTCAACTGCCTATTTTTTACTGCCTTCTGATCGCAACTGTAAAAAAAGTCCCAACAGCTTAGAAATACCTGTTGGCTAATTACATTAGAAGGCTGGACGGTTGCAAAGATCTGATTTAATAGAAAAAACACAATATCTGAGTTGTGATCATTGAAAATTAGTTTCTTCATAATGCTTATATAAAGAGAGATAAATGAGGGATTGTTTTAGGCTTAAAAAAGAAGTATGGACAAAAATATTTTGAAATCTTCAGTCTATAGCTTTTCAGACACAGTGATACAAGTGTCACTGACAGGCGTTCAGGAGGCGATATTGCTGCCTCCTGGATGCTTTTTTATTTTTTTTGACAGCCAAAGTTTTTCAATGGGAATACCAACTGCAACTGTGAGCTTGTATTTGGCTTGTGGTTTCAGCATGGCCTCATTCACGGGACAGGGGGTATCATTTGTGCGTGTGTACAACTTTCTCCTGCCACCTTTACAGGTTAAGGAACATGGTAAAACTGCTGCTGAACCACCTATTTATACTGTCCACCGACCAACACGGTAAACAAGCCCTTAAGGTGCTTTTACTGCTTACTCAAAATCCATAAATACTTTAGTCGCATGATCTGGACACAAATGTACTGCAAGCCTGGAGTACAGTAAAGATAAAGTGGGAGTAAAATAAGCTCAATAATTTGTGTCATCAATGGTGTCAGTGAAATAAAACAAGTTCCATCATTGGCTTCAATAGGATAAAAGAAGTGCCACTGATGGTGCCAGTGGAAGGGAAAAAAAAGCCAAAATGCTTGGTGACCGTTTGACAAAATAAAGCCCAAATCTTTAGGGATCTCTCCTGCTGTTATTGTATTGTGATCGGGGCACCTTCCCCCTGCTAGAAATACACAGAGCAGTGCTGCATGTGCTAATAGAATGCTGATTTTCTAGTAGGAACGTTTGACAGAAGACAGTCATTAGACAGGCTTCTGTTGAACAGACAACAGTACACATACACTAAACTTTGGCTGGAATGTGTATACTCAGTTTTTCAGTGTCAGTGCGAGAAACACATATTAACATTTACACACATCCGAAGTGTAGCAAAAGGCCTCTGGGAACTGTGGTGACATGCCAACAACTATAGCGCAAGTATATAAAGCTTTCAGCTATAGTTTTCTTGTGAAATACTGTGGGGGTTATTTAATAAATCACTGTAGGAAGAAACATGCTAAGAGCTGTATTCAGGACAAGCTGCCAGGATCCATCTTATACCTGTCTGATGTAAAGCTGAACTAAACCCATCAATGTAGAGCTGAATTAAACCCACCAATAATGGTTTCCAAGAATGCTACATCCAAGCTGTGGCAATAACTGTCACTGCTGGTGTCTTGGCTGATCACATGTGTAGCACCATGACAACTGCATATCTAACAGAGGCTAAGATGACACCGCCTTTGGCAGCAAAAGGATAGTATAAAGCAGAACTAAACCCATCGATTTAACAGTTTAAATAAAATAGCACTCTTGGCATACTAGGAACTTAACTAACGGTCAAATTTGCTTGTACTCTCAACTAAACTGTCAAACCATCAAATGGCTGGTGTCATAACAGATCATGTGCAGCATCATGGCAGTTGCAGATCAAACAGAGGCTAAATTGGCAGCTTCCTTGGCTGAAAAGGATAGGAGGGTTTAATTCCGCTTCAAAGTGTTACTAAACCCAGGACCCTGCATTCATTCTATCTGGTCTCCCACAGCACACAGAACATGGAAATGCAATTATTTTTAGTGAATATAAATTGCTAAATACCTTTTGTCATCAGCAGTTAGAGCAGGCTTGTGACTTCTATCAGTGTTCAGCAAAGTACTGGTTAAAGCTTGTAGGAGGAGTTTCTCTAGGAAGAGGTAGAACCCCTGACCTGGGCAGTGCTGATTGGCCCTGTGATTATCACATGCACTCTTCCAGGAAAAAAAAAACCTCTCTAGCAATACACATCAAACTGAGTATGTGCAGTGTCTCCACATGATATGTCTTATCAGGAGATAAGAGGGAGACACTGTAAGAAAGTAAGGATCAAAAGTCAGGATCAAACATCCTTTTTACACAATGCAGAGTATTAACCCCTTAGGTTCCAAAGTGAGTATAAGTGAGCATGCTTTACTGCATATACAGACTGATTTTACTGTTGTGGGTTTAGTAGCACTTTACGTTCCACTTTTAGCAAAGTGAATCGCATACGACAGACTATTATTTAGGACTCATTCACACCATAAATGCAGAAAAACCGATGGAAACTGATAAGCAGATTTCACTTGCAGAGACATCTATTTTCATAAGTAAATGCTACATTAATCATGCCCT